AGTGGGGGCGGTATACGCTATTGAGTGAACATGTGTACTGTGTGGACTTGGCATTCAAAATGACTGAGCAAGTAGTGCAAAAATATCTGCATCAAGTTTTGCATTAAACTTGAACATTCCTCTGTGGAAACTATTTGGATGATTCAGAAGGCCACAGCTATGGGCATCTGGTGATTGGCAGCTTCATCACAACACCATGCCTGCTCATGCATCACGTCTTGTGCAGTGTTTTGGCAAAACTTCAAATCACCCAGGTGACTCAGCCCTGCTTACAGCCCAGTTTTGATACCCTATGACTTCTGGCTTTTTCCAAAACTTAAAGGACCTCTGAAAGAGAAGAGATTTCAGACCATCAGTGAGATTCAGGAAAATACTACAGGGCAGCTGATGGTGATCGGGAGATCTGTGTGAGGTCCCAAGGTGCCTACTTTGAAGGGGATTGAGAAATGTATCTTTTTCAATAGATGTCTCTATTTTTCATATTACATGGTTGGATATCTTCTGGACAGACCTCATATCCATACAAAGGAATACAGGGTGAGTTAAGAGTAGGCTTACAGTTGTTCATATGGAAAATAATACAATAATTAATTAATAATACAAGAATAAACTCTGTGTTTTGTGAACTCACAACTGTAAACCTATTCCTTATTAATTTTTTGGCTTGGAGGGGCATATTTGTGGTGGATAACATCTTCCCAATCAAAAAATACAGTTAACATGGTTTGATCTTACTGCAACTTTGCTGCACCTTCTCCGGGCATGGAGAATCAGGCAACTTCCATTTTGATGACTGAATCTTTGTTTCTGGATCATAGCTGTAGACCCATGATTTATCTCTGGTTATGACCTTCTTATGGAAATCTGGTTCATTGGTAATGGTTTGAATCAAGTCATCAGCTACTACAACATGATGCTCCTTTTGCTGTGGCTTCAGAAGTCACAGAATGAATTTTGCCACAACACAGTTCATGCTAAGACCCTTGGTCAAAATCTGGGACACAGTCGTTTTTTAAATTCTCAGATTAGTTTCCAATTTTCACACTGTCAGTTGCTGCAGAATAAGAGCTTTACTACCCTACAACATCCCTACTCCCCACACAGCCCTGCAACCTGCAGTCAATGACTGACTGATGATGAGGGAACAGAATGCCAGCCACCCTGCCTCATGGTCTCAATTCTGTCATGAAAATCCTACTCCTGCAGCCCATACACGTTCAACATTCTCTGATGTTCTGCTTGTTACAGGCTTTCCAGAATGTGGATCACTTTCAACAGGTTCTCAGCCATCTTTGAAGCATTTGCGCCACACTTTTATTTGTGCTGCACTCATGCTATCATTTCTGAAAGCCCTCTGAATCACCGAATACTTTCCATGAAGGAGTATTCAAGCTTAACACAAAATTTGATGCAGATTCATTGCTGTACTCACTCAGTCATTTTGAAGGCAAGGCCACACTGTACACATGCTCACTCAATGACATATAATGCCCCCACTGACTAGTAGTCATCATTGTTTACACATGCACATTCCAGTCCACTCTCCTAGGCTGCCAGGTTACAACAGTGTCATGAAAACTGTTCTTGTTATATTAACAATGGCTGGACTTTTCCAGGACAGACCTTGTATATATACTGAAGAAGATATGACTTTCTTAACTTATTTATAACAATGGTTAAATAAAAGTTTGGTAAGGGTGATTGAAGAAGGGTGAATTACCTATTCATTGAAAATTTTAAAGTATTTAAACATTGGGATGGATAGAATTACACAAGGAAACAATATATGTTATTTTCTCTTCAGAAATAAGAAAAGTGTATGAGGAGAAATATGTAAATTTTATTATAATAGTCCCCTTGTTGATATTTCTCAAAAATTTTTGGCCATCAACTTTTAAGTGTTTCCACAATTGCTTATGATTAATGTTACATCATCTATTGCTAATCAAAATGTTTTCTAGGTCCATCATTTTTCTTTCAAATTGCACCAGTTTTACCACAGAAATTATATAGACTTTCAGTACCACAGTGTTTCATCTAAAATATAGGTCTCTTCCAGTCTAGTAGACAGCTACTCATATTCTAAAAGCTCAGATCAAATGTCACTCCCCTTGTGAATCCCTCTCCAATCTCATTTCTCCCTGCCAGAATGCATTGTTTCCTTATATGTGCACTCATAGGTCTTCATACATACCTCTTTTAGACCTTTTATCTCACTGCATTACAATTATATGCTGCATTGGTTATCAATTGTGTTTGGCTCATTAAGAACCCATTATTTTTCCATCACATAAAAAAATTTAAAGGTAGGCAATTCAATATGGTTATGGTCGCTCCTTTTATCTTTCTGCTGTTTTCCAAGATCAAGCCTCGGCTTCCCAGCTCAAGTTTTTCTCCATGTAACATTATGTTTGCTGTAGTTCCAGCCATCACATCGATAGCTGGGCAAGAATGAGTAAAGGGGTCCCTGAGTAAATGAGTAAAAACTAAAAGGGCCTCTGAATTTAGCAGCCTCATGGGCACCCTTACTCTTACTCCCCCACACTGGTGCATGTATGTGCAAAGAGTGCAGGTGCATATGCACATGCACATAAAATTATGAAGCTTTCTAAGAAGCTCCACCCAACAAATTCCACACACATATCATTGTCCTTAGTCACATTGATGCCCCTGTCCGAAAGGAAAGATGGGAAATAAAAATTTTTCGTCTGGGTACACAGCTACTCCTCCCCAAAGTCAGATTTTATTACTTAGAAAGAAATAGGAGAAAAGGCCTTCCTGAGATTAAATGTATTGGGTTGACCAAAAAGTCCATTTAGTTTTTTTCTGTAAAATAAAAGGCACATTTTTTCATTTTCATCAATAGCTTTATTGATTTGGATATTTTGAGTATATCAGCTATCTTCTGCGTGGTATAATGTTGATTGTTCTCAACTAATGTCTCAATTTGGTAGCTATCAACCTCAACAGGTCTACCCAGCCAGTGAGAAATCTCCAGCACAAAACTTTGCATACCACTTTTAATAAATTTGATCAGTCATAGCACCTTCTCTATACAATACACAAATCTATTCTTGTGTTTTAGTTGCATTTTTACCTTTCTGGAAATAATAAATCATAATATGGCAAATATGTTGTGGGTTTTCTTCCATCTGCAATATTAAAATAGCTACACAAAAATTCAATTTTGATTAAGATTTTTTAATGCATGCTAATATGACAGCTGTCACAATACAACCTAACAAAATTGTTTCGAATGAAGTTAAAGACAACTAAGCGCTACCAGAGCCACCTTATGGGAAAAAAAAAAAACCCAAAACAAGGGAACTTTTTGGCCAACCCAATATTTAATGATTTATTGAGAGATTATACCCTTGTTGTCAACCATGGTTCTTGGCATCAGTTCAAACGCCCAGAGGAATCCGGGACTTGATTGCAAAGAGCTTAACCATAATACAGCATGTGGGTGTGAAACAGCACTGCTGTGAATAGCTCTTCCAGTGCTATGGGAAGCTGCTGTGAAAACAGCAAGGCCCAGAGGCCAGACCCTTTTCACTAGGCAGATCTGTGATGGCCTGCTCAGCTTCCGCCCACAATGATCCGTGTTGTCCAAAGGCAATCTTCACTGGAAAGCATGTCCTGGAAGCAAGGGGAGCCAACTTAATAGACGTAAGTCCCCGCTCCTCATCCCTGATTGGTCAGAAAGCAGACACTCTGATTGGTCAGAGATGCACAGCTCCGATTGGATGGGGTAAGCCTAAATCCTATTGGTTGAATTAGGACTCCAAAGGAACTTTTTAATAAGGACTGTCTCAAATAGAACACAGTGCAGGCAGAAAATTTAGTGGTTCATGGGTAGGCAGTCTAACCAAGAGGCTTCTCTCTGAAGTTCAGTTTGTAGTGAGAAGTTCCCTGTGCAAAAATAGCTGCGAGGCTCTGCTTTTTTTTTTTTTTTTTTCCGTATTTGTTTGAGCCCAGTTAGCCACCAGGAGCCAGGCCGCTTAGTCCTCAGGTTTCACATTTTATATGATACGTGCTTCCTTTTACCAAATAGTAGCAGATACTTTTTAAAATTTTGCGTTCAGTTGGCAAAATAAGAAATTGACAATTTTGTGTTTCCCTCCGAATGTTTTAAAAAATGTATACACCTAAGAGATGGAACCACTTGTCTGGAATACAGAGAAAAGAGGAAGAACAGTATATAATCTCTAGTAAGTTGATTTAAATTAAACAAGTTAAGAACTCTTTCTATGGGAGCATTGGCAGTACTCTTTCTATGGGAGCATGCCTACGTCTCCTTTGAGAGTCAGGGAAGGCTTCACAGAGAAGGTAAAGTTTGAGCTGGAGCTTTAAGGATTAGCAAGGGAGAAACCGCAGGACATTCCAAGCAGAATGCAAAATGCAAGCCACAGCACAGAGCACAAAATAGCTCTACGTGTTCATCAGCTCTGAGTAGCCTGGTAGCCATCATCTATAATTCTCAGGGTTTGGTGACCTGAGATGAGGTAGGGACTATTTTTCTCTACTTGGCTCACTTTCCCTGAAGTTTATTGCACAGTGCTGGGCACACATATGCAGGAGCTCAATAAATACTTTCTGAATTGGGACAGGGTGATCAAGTGTGCTGGGAACCAGGGCATCTGGATTCTTTCTCACGCAACCACTGTGAGTCAAGTGCCTTTTCGAAGGTCTGCGGCTTGCTGTTTAGTAATCAGCCACCAGTGAGAAGGAGGAGGAGGGGTTTGACCTGCAGTGCCTGGCGTTTTAGCGCCTGGAATCCGTAACTGGCCACTTGGATGATGAGGTGGGCGGTGCAGCGGCGCAGGAGGCAAGGCGGTTCAGTTCCTCCTCCACTCCAGCAGGGGGCGCGGGGAGCGGCTTCCCGCTGTCCCCGCCCCGCCCGCCGCCGCCCCCCCCCCCCCCCACGGCAGACACCCTGCGGATTGCTGCAGTCACGGGTGGCTGCGCTGCGCTGAAGGGGCTGGGCTGGGTAGCAGCAGTGGCGGCGGCAGGCTGAGACCACTGCGGAGGCCACTGGGGACCAACTCGTTGGCAGCGGGTTGCAGAGGCCTGGAGCAGCCTCCTCACGCAGCGCCGCACTGCCGGGAGTTGTAGCTGGCCGCGGCGCTCAGCTTGCTGGTGAACTGTGGCTGGCACACCCAGGCGCGGCGGCGACAGCAGACAGGTTAGAGTGGGGGCAGGGGCGGACGTGGGAGCAGCTCGGGCCCAGAGAGGTAACCCGAGCCCCGACATCTCCAGCCATGTCCGACGAAGCGTCGGCCACCACTTCGTACGAGAAGTTTCTGACCCCAGAGGAGCCCTTCCCGCTTCTTGGACCTCCTCGCGGGGTGGGCACCTGCCCGAGCGAGGAGCCCGGCTGCCTGGACATCAGCGACTTCGGCTGCCAGCTGTCCTCTTGCCATCGCACCGACCCACTCCACCGCTTCCACACCAACAGGTATGTACCGCCGCTGGGGTAGGGGCAGATTGCCCACACCCCTACCTCAAGTCTGGGACCCGTGGGTCGTCTCTTAGCCTGGCGCTTCGCCCTGGGTCTGCACTTCCATATGCCCCATCCCCCACATTTCTCTTCTACCAGCGCTCATTCCCGGGCTCCTTCCCTCTCACCCTCCCTCTTTTCACCCCATGCCCTCCCGATCTTCCGTTCGGCCGGCATTTTACTCTCTTCCCCCATTCATTTTCTGACCTTAGCGACTCCTCCCTTCCCTTTCCCCGCACTCCTGTCTGTCCCCTGTGAATTCCAAACCCCATTTTTGATTTTTAACTGTTCTTGTTTCTTATCACCCGCAAAAGTTTAATCCCTTCCATTTCTGATGGCTCAAAATCAATCCATGGATTTTTTGAAAGGTGGCACTTTTAAAGCTATAATCTTAATTTCTCCCAATTTCTAACCTGTTTCACAACTTATTTCCACCCCTCCCCCATTTTTTGTGAAGCTGTAGGAAACCGGACAATTCTCTCTTTTCTTTCTTATTTATGAACTGTTTGCCTTCATGCTGTAGGCCCTCCCAAAATGTATAACCTTAATTAAATCCGGAAGATTCTTGATTCCCTCATGTAGTACATCCTTTGATTTGTTCCCAGGTGGAAGGATGGAGCGAGGCTTAGAATAGGCTTGCTTAATACAAATTTACCCGGAAGGTGCATCTCTTAACTGGTTTTATTAGAAGGGAGTATTCTGGAGAATTCTTTCATGCAAGCATGTAAGTGTTACACAGAATGTGGGGAGGTTGAAGATGTTTTATAGGTATTCCCAACCTTTTATATGTTCAAGATACATATGCAAAGGCCCGGGAGGGTGTGTGGAGAAAAAGAAAGGAGGAAAGGGGTTCAGATATGGAAAATATTGCAGATGAATTAAGGAATTTAGTTCTGATTTCTGATCCAGTTTATAATATGAGCATTAACAAATCCCTCCACATTTTAATGTCTTTTGTATGTTCCTTGACATCTCTTAAATCAGTCTACAGATTTACTGAGCTTATGCCAAATACAAGGAATGTATAAAACATGATTCTTACCTAAAAGACAGTTATGTAGTCTGGAAGTAAGGTGCGGTAGTTAAGCAATCATCCAGAACATTAGTATGACACATTTGGAAAGAAAGTGGTAGTAAACTGAAGCTCAGAAAGAAAAGACTAAGTTCAAGGTCATGAAATTGAGTTAGGCAAAACCAGGATTACTCCTTTGGAGCCAATGCTGAAACTTGGGAACAGAGCTAATGGCTCCAATGATTGTTACAGTTTTTTAGACTAACTCACAGAAGTCTATTTATTCTGTGAGGTAACTATAACATGAATGTCACATACTCATGAAATCAATTGTCCTTAGAATTTTTTGCATTGGAAAAGAGCATAAATTGAATACTTTTGCATACATTTGACATTTACATTTTGCAGCATTAGATCAAGTTAAATACACAGGAAGGTAAAATGATTTCATAATTAGCTTGCTCTGATGATGAGGGCAAGGGAGTATGGGGACAGAGCCTCAGGGTAAGCACTGCCAAAATAGGTTGGGATGATAGGGAGTGAAGGAGAAGAATACATTTCTTACCGCTTTCTCCTCCCCAGTTTCATTTGTGGTTTCCCACCACTTTTCTCAGAGACCATGGTAAAATCAATGTTGTTTTGCAGAATGGGGCAATGAAGATAGAGGGGGAAGTTTCTGTTCAGCCTCAATTTTTCAAGCCAAGCATTATTTTTCCTAGTTACTGCTTGCTTTTTAAAAACCTTCCTCACCTACCCTACTTTTTGTAAGGCTTGAAATGACTATAGGAGGTCTAAGGTATCTTGCTCTGTATCTTTTTCAGCAGAGATTAGGGGAAGCAGAATTAGCAATATTTGCAGCAGATGATTTTTCTGCCCTGGGCTACCATGCCTTCTAAATCTTTTCTCTTTCTGGAATGTTCTTTCTGCCTTCTTACCCCTTCTCATAATGGTGTTCAAGAGTACCATATGCTGTAGTTATTACTTTTCAAGGAGAAGCAAACAGCTAAATCACGTATATGGGCAAGGATTAGGGAGTACTTTTATTTTGGAGTTTTATGTGTCACTTTTTTTTATTCACATCACATCATTCACCAATTCAAGCAGGAATCCAAAAATCATATCTGTATAGTTGAGTACTGATATTCTACTTTGGGTTTAGTAATTATAAAGCAAATTTCATTGAAGGGACAAAGCTTGTCAGCAGTTAGACACTAGATTGACCTTTATTTTGCTTCTTCATTGTTGCCTGATAAGAAAAATTGGAAATTGTTTAAATAATGCTGTTGATAAGGGCCTTAGGATGATGACAATTCTGTACCTGTTCATTTATTGGACTTTGGGCTATATTTCCAACCTTCATTAACCAGGACAGTGAGGTGGTATTATTAATAATCCCTTAGGTTGAATTTTGTGGTGTTCAGGTTACAGTCACCTGTGACTTAGGTTGGTGTGTCACTGGTCTAGGTTCAGTGGAAAGTAAATTATGTGAACACAACCGGTTTTGTACAATTCACTTTCCTAGTAGTATCTTTTAGGATTTTATGACCAAATAAACATTGTCTGGAATTTTGGGAGAATGAATGAATTTCAATAAGAAAAAAACTTAAATATTAAAAAAATATTTAATTGATTATGCTATTACAGTTGTCCCATTGTTTCCTCCCCTTTATTCCTCTCGGCCCTGCACTTCCCCCACCAGCATTCCCCTTCCTTAGTTCACGTCTATGGGTCATACATGTAAGTTCTTTGGCTTCTCCATTTCCCATACTATTCTTTTTTTTAAATATTTTATTTATTTAGTTTTGGAGAGAGGGGAAGAGAGGGAGAAAGAGGGAGAGAAACATCAATGTGTGGTTGCCTGTGGGGGGGGGCGCTCTGCCCACAGGGCCCACCTGGCTGCCAAATATGAGAATAAGTCTACTAAGACATGATCTGCTTGGGGAGGAAACGTGGCCAATCTCTGAAAGGAGAAAGACCAAGAGCTTTTTCCTCGTTGGGCTTTTATTGGGTTCAATTTGCACAGGAATACAGGTAAAGCTCATTAATCATCGTCAGGCAGTAAAGATCAAACAATAGATAACAAAGAACTCTCAGGGTCCATTCTGAGTTAGGGTCTGTTAACTCAAGGGCTACAAAACTTTGGGAAACAAACTCATTTCCTGCTTGGGCCCTTATTTAATTGAGAGCATTCTTAGCAAAGCAGGTTTCAGAGGAGTTTATGTATTCTTCCTTAGGCCTGATCACCCTGGGGAACCTGCCCTTTCCAGCACAGGGCTGCACTGCCCTCTGTCATTGTTTCTGGCTTAAGTCAGGCAAGTGAAATAAGGCAGCCAAGAGGTTAGGAGACTTCTCAGACAGAATGAGGACTCAGGCTATGTCACAGCCGAGGGGCAAGGGTCCATCACCTCCTTTTGCTGTAGCCCCCCAAGTCCTTCCCTGGGGCCTCTCAGTGATCATGCCTGTCTTAGGTTGTTATCCCACTGGGGAATCTTACCCGTCCTTGGCTAACCGATCAAGCATTGGGGGCCAGTTATGGATGGAAGTAAAAGGAGCAGAAGCTGCACTCCTGCCAGGGAGATAAGCTTCATCTCCTTAGTGGCTTATGGTCCAAAGGTCTCTTACTCAGCCATACCCATGGGGGTGGGTTACAGCTTCGGAAACCAGGCAGGGCAGTTCCTAAAAGTTGCCTCTGGAGGGCCCACAAAGGGGACCTGGCCTACAACTCAGTCACATGTCCCGTCTGGAAATCAAACTGGTGACCCTCTGCTTCACAGTCTGGTACTCAATCCACTGAGCCACACCAGCCAGGGCTCCCATACTATTCTTAACCTCCCTCTGTCTATTTTGTACCTACCAATTATGCTTCTTGTTCCCTGTACTTTCCCCTCCATTCTCTCCCCTCCTATTCCCTGCTGATAACCCTCCACACGATCTCCATTTCTGTGATTCTGTTCCTGTTCTCGTTGTTTCCTTAGTTTGTGTGTCTTTTTTAGGTTCAGTAGTTCATAGTTGTGAGTTGTCATTTTACTGCTCATATTTTTTATCATCTTTTTCTTAGATAAGTTCCTTTAACATTTCATATAATAAGGGTTTGATGATGATGAACACCTTTAACTTGACCTTATCTGGGGAGCACTTTATCTGCCCTTCCATTCTAAATGATAGCTTTGCTGCATAGAGTAATCTTGGATGTAGGTGCTTGCATTTCATGACTTGGAATACTTCTTTCCAGCCTCTTCTTGCCCGCAGGGTTTCTTTTGAGAAATCAGCTGATAGTCTTATGGCAATTCCTTTGTAGGTAACTGTCTCCTTTCCTCTTTCTGCTTTAAGATTCTTTCCTTATCTTTAATTTGGGCAACTTAATTACAATGTGTCTTGGTGTGTTTCTTCTTGGATCTGTCTTCTTTGGGACCCCCTGAGCATCCTAGACTTGCATGACTATTTCCTTTGCCAGACTGGGGAAGTTTTCCTTCATTATTTGTTCAAATAATTTTTCAATTTCTTGCTCTGCCTTTTCTCCTTCTGGCATCCCTATGATTCAGATGTTGGAATGTATAAAGTTGTCCCAGAGGTTCCTAAGCCTTTCCTCATATTTTTGAATTCTCGTTTCTTCATTCTGTTATGGTTGAATGTTTATTTCTTTATTCTGGTCCAAATCGTTGATTTGAGTCCTGGTTTCCTTCTCTTCATTGTTGGTTACCTGTACATTTTCCTTTATTTCACTTGCCATATCCTGCACTCCTTCCTTCATTTTGCAACCATACTCAACCATTTCTGTGAACATCCTGATTACCAATGTGTTGAACTGTGCATTTGATTGGTTGGCTGTCTCTTCATTCCCTAGTCCTATTTTTGGAGCTTTGATATGTTCTTTCATTTGGTCTATATTTTTTTGCCTTGGCATGCCTGCTATGTAGTAAGTGGTGGAACCTTGGGTATTCACCAG